TTAAAACATTCAGCTTTTTTGTTTGTTTGTTTTGTGTTTTTTTTTGTTGTTGTTACAGTAACAGTACAATTTACCAAACAAACATGGGAGTTACAGTACTTGATCAAAATGTTAAGTAAGAATAACAAATTGAAGTCCCCAGGCTGGTCTAAAATAGTTCCCCATCAGTTAATTATTCTTTGTTGCGAAGTAGTGAATGTCAGACTAACAAAATTACATTGAGCAGTTTTTTCCTAATTTACCTGTGTTTACAGAATTGCAAGGACTCTTAGAGCGTTATGCCCTTAAGTGTGTGTCAGGTACCTGGTAGCAGTGTGCTTTAAGCATTTAATTGGAGTTGTTAGCCCTACTATTTCACAGGATGGTCTTATAAGTGTTGTTAAAAAAAAAGACACAGTTGAGAATTATGCAAGTTCTCAATCCTTATCTGAACTGGTTTTTTTATTATTAGTTTTCCAACAGTGTGTATTTGTGAGGCAATTTCAGGTCTTGCAAGTTTAGATTGTTACACCTGGTGCCTGCAAATTGTCATAAATGCCTAAAAGATAATTGAAATTCTGAATTGTTAAGAGTAAACTGTCTTGTTACTTCTACATACTGTAGTTCATTACATATTTTGTATGAGGAATTTTAATCACATTTTTAAAATGTTTTCCTGGTCACAATATTTGTTTTCATGAGGTCTTTCTGACAGGGAAATGGTATCTCCCTCACTGAACTCCTGGAAAATAGAGGATAACAAGGTCAAAGAAATCTGAGGCAGAACAGAAAATTTGAACTCTGATTTCCTGACTTCTAGGGAAATGTCTTAAAAAACAGATTTCCATTTGTTTCTGCTGCTGCAATTTAAGGTAGTAATAGGATGAAGCCTAGCTGTGAATCAAGACACAAATATGCAGACTTAAGTTTACATCCAGCTGAACACTGAAGTACTCCATAAATACTTTTTCAGTAAGATTTAGACTTGGAAGTTGTCCGATGGGTAGAGCACTCAAAATGCTTAATGCCCTCAATCTGGGTGGCATTCGCTACTACCTGTCAAGGTCACTTTTTCATTGTACTTCAGTTTCCCTGTCTTTAAACTGTCAGTAATATTTTTCTGCTTTGTTTGAGTGCTACAATAAAAAAGTAATAGCTAAGCATTATAGTTCTTTTTGCCAGTTTAAAAATAATTCCTCCCCTTTACACAGTATGATTGCTACTTATCATTCTAGTTCTAGGTTATTTGGCCATGCTTTCCTTAGTCCGTGTCACTGTTTCTATGATATCATAAACTCACGAATGCTGTGTTGTCTGCGTACAATATCCAGCTGCAAAATTAGTTCTAGTAACAATGGAGAAAACTCAGCATCACTGGAAAATGTTTCGCCTGTGGAAGCAGTTGCCCATGAGCTCACCCTCTGGAAAATATCCTGGTGGCTTCACATCTTAAGAGAGCTTTTTTCATTGCACAGTAGCACACATGTAAGCCAAGGTCTGAAAAGCTAGTGCTGTGTGTTTGCTTTGGCATATGGCAACCCTGAGCCTTTCCTTTGAGAAGCTGGTCTTAAAATCTTTTGCTGAAAGGAATAATTTTGTGATTCCTCTGAGCAAAATAAACTGATTCTCATGTATTCCTATTATCACATATACAGAAGAGTTCAAAATGCCACTGCCCAGATAAAGACTCTTAAAAAAAATAATTAAAAACTAATAATCCTTGTTGCATTAAAAGGAGGGAGTGGAACACCATTGAAAAGGTGTAGCTACTTGTGTATTTGTGAAGAATATATTCTGTTACATTCCAGCATGGTGCATTCAGTTTAACTTTTTGTTGGCATAATCGGTTTGGTTTCCTTCTTCCTGCACCCCACTACCCACAAAAACTATGTAATAGTGAATATAGGGTGTATGCAACACGTGAATGAGATTTTGCTCATGCAGGTACTCAGTATTTATTAAATTCTAACAAAATAGTAATATCTGTCTTTTTTTTTTTTTTGTAAGCTGTAAAGTAGAAAACCTTAGGAAGCCACATGTTCTGTTCTTAAATCTGCTCGACTATTGCTGGTGGTCTGTAACTTACAGCTCTACATGATAGCAATAAGACATTACTAGAGAACACATAAGAACATTTTAATTTCAGGAAAGAATTTTTATTTTCCTGGATGGAAATGTTACTTCCTGGGTTTTGGTTGTGGTTTGTTTTGTTTTATTTAATCTGAGTAAGTCTGAGGCATGCTCGCTACCAGGCAATTGCATTAAAATAATTTTTTTTGCTGCAGAAATGATAGACTTCCAAAGATCTGATTATTATCAGTAATTAATCCAAGCATACTGAAATTCTCTCAGGAGTGTGTTGCTTAGATGTACCCCATGCATTTCACTGTAGTGTCTTTCCTTCCCTTTTAAAAAATTACACTTGACGAGCATGGTTGCATTTCCTGTTGTTTCAATAGCTGGGAGTGGTTGGGAAAATGTAATGTTCTGAAGCTATAAGCGTGAAAGTCAGACCTGAAGCAAAGGTCTCTTTTTAAGACAGGGCAAGAAAACATGAGGTACAGGGGGAGTCATTGATCATAAACATGCTCAGAAACCAGCATGGAAAATGGAATGTGGAAATCGGGTAGATTTTTATGCTGCACAAGTTATTTTCCTGCTCAAAAGAATGTTCCTTTCTTTGTTACACAGCAAAGAAGTACTAACTTCCCTGCACAGCTGATAGAATAGTTTAGGAATATATTAAATTAAAGTTTGCTTCCTAACTTAAGAGGAGCTAAAACTGTCTTTTGTATGTATATAACATTTTATATTCTGAACTGCAGTAGCAACTGTGAATTTGCAATGCTTTTATAATCAGCAGTTGTATAAATGGTAAGAAGATGTTCCTGAAAAGCCATGGTTGTTTTTGGAAAGGATAAAATGTGCCAGGTGCCATTGTCCTTGCAGAGCTTTGCACAAATTCTGTGCTTGAGGCCATCTGCAGGTGTCCGAGGTGCATGGAATGCTGTGCTGTCCTCACAGACTGCAGCACTGTTCTACTGAATGAGGATTTCATCATGTGCTCTTAAGGAAGTTCTCAGTTGAGTTTGATGGATGGAATGGAAAACAACAGTGAACAGTCAGGAAGATACCAGTGGTGCTCTTACTTATGCCAGAGTATTTTCACAGTAGGTTGCTTACATTCACCTGTTGGCAGATTTGCTGGAAGGCCAGAATTGCTACTGTATGTCAAATCCTGACATAGCAACTTCTATTTGAAAAGGCTTGGTGAAGCTGATTTAATTTGGTGATTTATATTGCTGTCTAGAACGTGCAGTTTTCCTGTTCTGACTCAGTGTTTTTGACTGGCAGTTTTAATGCTGTAGAAGAACCTGTGTCAGGTTCTAGATTTCAGCTATTAGTAAGTTGAAAAAATTCTGCTTTGTGCATAAGTGTGTTAGTGCATTTATTCCTGTGCAATACAATTTCCTGTTTTTTAGTCGCCTAGTTTTATTTGATGATAAAATGAAGGACAATTCTTCAGCCTCCTCTGTCAGATTGCTTGTTTACTACACATTTTGTTGATGGGGAGGGCTTATAAAGAAGGCAAACCATATTCTTCTGTTATACAGCAAAAGACAAGACGCAGTAGTCACAAGTTATAATGTAGGAAATCAGAAGTGGATATAAACAACAACAACAAAAAAAGTTAGAGTGGCTTAGGAGCACTGGATTAAGTTGATCAGAGAGTCTCCATCCCTAAACTTATAAGACTTAGCAACCTTTTCTAACTTTTGATATAGCCCAGAATTGAGCAAGAGATTGGACTAGATTGACCTCTGGAGGTCCCTTCTGACTGAAGTTATTCTATGATTATTCATGACAGCAGAAAATGTGCATAAAATGCCACTGGAGTGGAATTCTAAGATTCTCATTCCCCTCTAAAAAAATACCATTGTACTGCTATGAAAAGGTCTTAGAGAGTTTATAGGTATGCTGTGTTTTTACAAACTTTTATGTCATAATTATTCTCTTCTGAATTTTAATTTCACCCACATTTGCTACAGACTGAGATCAGAAAAAGAATTACATATATGAATTAATAATAGGATGAATTAAAAATAAATGTTATTAGGATAGAACTTCCATTTTGGGAATTCTGAGTTTGTTTTCAAAAATCCTTATTTCTGGTTAGTCTTGAAAGAATGAAGCTGTCACTCACAGTATATACTTTTTATCTGAAATGATATTTACCTAATAGTAAAAAACTGATTGAAGTATGCTCACAAAAAGCAAGACTGATACTCTTCCTCATCTTCATTTAAATGCATTTCATTAGTTACTGAAGTAAATATATAAGCCTTGCATTTAGGCTTTCATAGTAGCTTTCATGAGTTTTGCAAGACTGTGTTGCAGAATTATCTTTCAGTTTTCCAGAGTTAAAACTAGAACTTGCTAGGCAATCTTGGCGATGATTCAGTTTTCTCAAAGTTAATAATTGGGTATTGGACGTTCTTCCCAGTCAGTGCTTTACCCTTTGTTTGTGATTGCTTTCTAACTACAATAATCACTATCTTTTCATATTTACTGAGAATTCAAGGCCTAGGCAAATAACTGAGCCATTTTTTCACTGAAGAAATAAATAAAAACCTTTTCCATTTGTTTTCTTAAATCAATGCATAATCAAAACCTAAATATCCTTTTGTCTTCTACCAAATGCAGCCTGGAGCCTTGGCCAAAACATTCCATGGGGCCTTGCTCCCCCAGCCCCCCCAGCACGGCAAGTTGGGGCAGCTGCTGCTCTTCTTTATTTTAGTGTCGTTGTAATGGTCCTGAAAATTTCTCATAGTTGATGTTAGCCTGTAGAACTCAAGTGTTAATTATGTTATTCAACACAGAGATCCCAAGCCATTCTTTGTTTAATGGCCCTAGACCACAGAGGGAGTAAATTGTTGCTGGCTGTTCTATCCATTAAAAATTATGCAGCTCTTTCTGTTTGAAACACTAGATCAATTGGTTGATTGATTTGTTTGTTTCAGGAATTTATCTCTTGGATTTAATCTACATTGATTCTGCATATCCCGCTTCAGGCAGCATTATGGAGAATGAACAAAGATCTAACCAAATGAACAATATTCTTCGAATAATAGCTGATCTGCAAGTCTCCTGTAACTATGGTTGGTAAATTTTGTTATACCTATTAAGCCTTAATTAAAATTTCTTTACTGCAACATTATGCAAGAAAGTTTCGACCCTGTGTGAAGGAACACAAGAGGTGAACATTGTGGAGTTGAACACCAGTAAGTCATGTAGCTTTCACTTCTGTGCAGTTTCAATCTTTACGGTAAATTAGGTAAATTAGCTTTTATTCTAAATTGTAAGAGCTATAGCAGAAACTGTGCAGAGTTTGCTGCTATGTGTAGGCTACAAATGACATGCTTTCAAGTACAGCTATTGCATTTGGGTTATATTCTGTTTTCCAGAAGTATCTTAATCCCTTTTCTTCTCAGTAGATACGATGTATTTGGAGTGTAGAATGTGGATGTTTCATTATCATTTTATTGTTTTTATCCTAAGAACACATTTACAAAATGAGATACAAACATCTCAATCTATATACCAGTTGTTAAATTGTGTGTTAAGCCCCTCCATATACCTCACTTGTTGATGAAGTGAGGAACATGAGGGAGCTGCTTCTTTCTGTTAACAGGAATTTACTCTCAAATGAGTGTCTTCAATTCTAGCCACTTAGTGAAGGCTTATGCCAAGAAATGTGCTGGTTTGGGGGTCTTGACACATAGTATACTGTTGGTGACTTATTAAACGTGAAACAAGCTGGAAAACCTTGAGAGCAACTGTACAATTAAATTAAAAACATTTAAATGCTACAGTTTCAGAGAGTTTTGAATAGAAAAAATTAAATGTTAGATTGTGAGAAAATGAGGCGAGAAATTACTTGTGTATCTTTACGTGTCCAGCCCTTGTCCTTTGTTATCAACTTTGATATTATTTAAACATAGGGACTAGGTTTAATAATCTATGATTCTGAAAAGCTAGATTATTAAGCTGTCATGTTCTTATTGTGAGATTAATTTTGTCCTTGAGTACTTTGAATGACAAAAGAAAACGGATTATTTCACTGGCCCTTCCCTTTTTATAGTTTTGGTGGCTTAATCAGAATGAAAATTTTAAAATGGCCTTGAAGAAACAATATTCTGGAATAATGGGTGCTTTTAAAACAGTTGTCTTTATGAGAGCATCAAAGTTAAGTTAGATACTGCAAGGCCTGTTACTGTCTGTGCACCACACATCCAAGGATGTTTCTGTCATTCTGAAGTTAGTGTCTGTCTCATGAAATTCAAGGTTAAAATGTTTAAGTCCTTTCACTTCATGTTCATATAAGAATCCCTGAAACCCATGGGTGTATGCTTTAATTTTCCCTAGAACACTGAGCACAAAATTCAAGCAGGGTCTGCAACAGGTAACTCTTCCACTCATGGGATAGCAAATAATAAAACCCACCAGCTTTCATGGTGGTGAAAGGCAGCTGTCTTTTCTTTTGCTCAATCACATCAGTAACATCATCTGAGAGACCAAGTAATTTTTTTGCCTGGTTTATTCTTCAGGAAGGTTTAAATTTTCTGTTTCCATTAACTGTGAGAACCAGAAAAAACCACAAAAATAACAAAACCAAACCAAAACAAAAGCCACACAACGCCCCCCCCCCAAAACAAACAAAAAACCACCAAAAAACCCCAAACAACCCCCACAAAAAACCCGATCAACAAACAATGAAAGAATAATTAATTTTGGGTTACATGAATGTTCTTTTTTTTTTTTCTTTGAACACTCCACAGATCATCTTACGACACTGCCCCATGTGCAAAAGTATTTGAAGTCTGTCCGTTACATTGAAGAACTTCAAAAATTTGTAGAAGATGACAATTATAAGTAAGTACTGTTATTTTCTTCAGGTTTTGTGGAATTTAACGCAAAGATCACTGTGCTGTTAGTTTGATTAGAGTTGAGTAAAAAGCCGTTGGCTGAAGAGGTTTTGAGCTTTTTCTGGTGTTCTTGGTATTTTACTAATGGAACTGGTAACACCAGAATGCCTGAGTAAAATCCAGAATGACAGTCTTCCTAACCAGATTTCCAAAACGAAATATCTTTCTAAAAGTTAAAAGCAGATGAAAATCTAGTCTTTATTCTATTACATGATGTTTGTGTTCTGAGAGTTTTGTTCAGGAACCCTAAAGCCATTCCCAAGAAGTCCAGGATTGACTCTATGCTATTGTAAACAATACATGAAAACCTTTCGATTTCAGATTACTATTTTTAATAAGCTGATGCTTAAGATATAAACCTGACAGTTCTGAGGGTTTAAGCATGTTAAAGCAATGCTGACAAAAGAGGTGGAGAAGGGCTGATCGACAGAGTGATGTGAGGTAGATAGCATAGGGCACTCTGGTCAATATGTGAATGTGCTCCAGTTAAAGAAGGTGATAATTTTTGACCAATAATTCTGAAAAAACTAGCCCAGTCTAGACCTAATCATGGGTCTGGCAGCCAAGGTTTTAAATAACACAACCAAGGTAGATGGAGTTCTATATAGCTATTGACAAGTATAGTACTCTGTTTAGGTGAGCAGAATTAGAAGTATTCAAGGCAACCAGATGTTCAGTGATATGATATTGGTATGAAAGATTTTAGAATATGTTTTGGAAAGCAGGGTTGCTAATGAACTTCCTTAAAACCAGTCTTGTTACTAGTTTTATTAAATATTCACTTAAGAACTGTGTCTCAGAATTTGTGTGTACTTAGACCATATACTAATTAAACAGTGTTGGAAGGGTTCATCAAAGTAGAAGGTGGTGTGTCTATCACAAGGGAAGGACCAGATGGCCTGATGACTGAAGTGACAGTGAAACAAAACCAAAAATGTTATATGTTTATTCTAATAATAATTTATGGTGTTGATCAGTAGATATCTGTCAGAAGTGAGATACAGCCATGAAAAGACAAATTCATCCCTACTCCTTATCAAATACAGTGTTTCTGTTAAAAAAACAGTGTGTGGAGTGCTGTACACAGATCTGCTTAGAGTGGGTTTCAAAAAAAATGCTGGTGCAGTCAGTTCAATAAAGTGTGTATTGTAACAGGAGACTTGAAGAATTAGGCTTTGCTTTAGCCTGGAAGAAAAGAAGTTAAACTGCCTAAGGTAGTAGAATCACTATGTAGGAACACAATTGGTAGAAAATGAGGAGGTAAAGAGCCATTTAAACTAAATTGTAATGGATACACAAGGATAGATGAATAAAACGATTTACAATCTAAATGTTGAAATATGGTTCCTAACCATCAGAGTAATGGAATTCTGGAACAGCTTCTTAATTGGAGTAGAAACAAATAATTAAATAATTTTAAGTTGAAACTTGATCAGTTAATGAAATCAAGGCTACCAGTGAGTGTTTGTGAGGAGAAAAAGAGCAGACCAAATGAACCAGAAGACTGGGTATTACCAGTGTGGGGCCATGTACACATGGGCATAAGGAATGACTTACCCCAACCATTCCACATTTTTCTGCAGTCATAGCTGATACTGCTGGTGTACAGATGCAAAATCCTACTGAGACCATTCAGGAATAAGATTATGTCACCTTAACAGGCAAAAAAACATGTTTGGGCATAGCATGAGTTGAGCAATTTGTCTTTTCTATTTTGAACATAACTGCAGTTGGTGATGGCAAGTCTAGCTGCCCAGGCTCTTCCACTGAGCTCAGGTTCAGGCCACTGAGCATGCAGCACTGTTCCTCAGCCCAACCTGTTGGTGAGGATTCTTGTGGTAAATGTGTGTGTAACTTTGCTTTTCCTGAGACAATTATTGTAAAAGTAAAGCCATTCGAACAAGGTATTCTTTTGGAACTTCTCTGAGTATTATCAAGACGTACCTCAAATAGAGAGAAAATGTCTAAAATCTGTCCTCTGGCTTCGGGCAACCATTAGCAAAAGAAGCTGACCCAGACCTGGGTAATTCCTTGCAGAAGACCATACTTAGTCATGGTTTGATGGGTTTGTGCTTTTGCATCTGGTTGATCATAGATACTAAAACTTGTGATATTTCTGTAGGAAAATTATTTGGAAGAGAACAATATGTTTCTATGATGTTTTCATAGCAAGATTTATTTGTTTAATGGAATTAGAATTCCTGCCAGAGTACTGATGGTAGGATGTGTATGTTCTTTTTCTCACTCTTCTGACATTGTATATGCCTATGCAACAGATGCACATTGAACGTGGGTGTTGCGCACAGCCTTTTGAGAAAGTCAGGCAGCCCAAGACTTGTGTTAAGGGTACTCTGAGATGTAAACCTCAGTGTTAAAACTTAAATTGTCATTATTTACTGATTTCCCACATAGTTCCATGCTTCATTGAAGTCACAAGCATAGAGCAAAATTAAGCTGAGTAGTAGTTAGTAAAGGTGAAGAATTGCAGTTAGCTTATGCTGCACAGCCCCTGGACTGGATTCAAGAAACTGGTCATGTTGCTAAATTTGATTTTTAGATGGAGTTTCCTACTGTTACGTTGATGGTAATGTTATATATACAATAGCTTTCATGAACTGTAATATCTTAGGAAAAATAGATTAAACAAATATTTTCTGTAACTATATCATACTATAACATAACATTTGGACAAGCTACAAGTCACGAGTAATTCCAGTTTAAATTTGAAGATAATTTAAACTTTAGCAGCAGCCTTGCTGTTAATGCTGGAATTTTTTTGATGTATCTTAAAGATAATTTAGTACTTTTTATTTTGATTTAGTTATTTGTGAGAGCATTTCAATCAAATTTAGCAGTTTTCTTTCTATGCTTCACTATGACAAGGAAAAACTGGACTTCAGTCACAGAAGGTATTAAAAAGAGAGAAAGTTTTGATTCTTAGCACAGTAAAGTTGCTTCAATTTGCATACATTGCAAAACTTTCACCTTTTTCTACCATGGTTTTTTTTCATTAGAATAAAGCTTTAATTGAAAGTCTGTAATCATCAAAACTTGTCACGAATACCCTTAAAGAGAACTCTCATTCTTCTTCCATCTTTGTGCTTGATAAAAAGGTTTTGGATTTTATTTTCAATATTTTATTTCACATTTTTCTCTCTAATACATTGTCAGTTTCACAGCATTTTCTCATCCCATGCCAGAATAAACTGTAAGCCTTAAAAAGGCAAAGACTGGTAGGTTTTTATAATGGGAAAGAATCTCCTCTCTTTCTTTCCAGTGACTGCTGTTTTTGAGCCAGGGACAGCATTAGTGTACTCTGAAGACATGTGTGCCTGACCTTTGGCAGGGAGAACACAACTATTTCAGTACCAGGCTGTCAGGGAGAGAAGCTCAGATAGTTGCCCTAAAATTTATTGGCAGGATCCCAAAACATGTTTCACCAAATGAGAACCTCAATTACACTGAACAGGAAAATTTGGCAGCTGCTTTATATAAACAAAGCTTTTCTCTACAATTTTTGGTGCCAATGCAATGGCTTGGTTTAGGTTTGTGCTTGTCAGCAAGTGCAAACACTCCAGAAAACCCCTGACAATGATGTCATATCCTAAAAGTAGTGGATCTTTCTTGCTCAGCCATATGCTGTGATAACATTTGCTTGTTACAAGACTCAAGGGGCAAAAGTGGGACCTAAAGCATCAGGATTCTTTCATAGCTATACCCAGAAATACACTGCTAATGATTGTTATGGCAGCCAGGGATGTGGCTGCTGCAGGACTTGCTTCCCCCTCCAGCAGTGGAAGAAGTGATATGGGGACAGTGCTGTTCCCCACGTGTGCAGGTTTTCCCTGAGCTAGACAGAGCCATCCAGGCATCATGGCATCATGCCACATCTTGCCATGCCTCACAGTGGTTTAAAAACTTTTTTTTTTTTTGCTACCCTTTTGATATCATTAGATCAGGCCTAGTGTTCTTCACAGTTCGTTAAGTAAAGACAGTTTGAACACTATTACTTGTATTGCAGTGTTACCTGGATAGGACAATCAGGGTTGGAATCCCATTCTGTAGGCTGCCATCTATAGCTATAATTCAGCTCTTTAGAGTATATTTAAGCAATACTCTGATATTCCAATATTGTATTAAGATTATTTACAGATGTATCAGCACTTATACCTTGCACTAAGGCTAGGCTTCTTCACCATGCTAAAGCAAATACTTTGTTTTTGAAAAGAATTCCTGAAAAAAAAAAATCTTATCGGTGCTGTCATACTGGATTAATATGAGTTATAAGATGAATTTCTGATCATACACGCACGCAGGCACAAAAATGTTGTTAGGAGTTATGACTGGTTGACCAGTGGAGAGTGATGTTACCTCACTGCGCAACACTGAAGACTTCTTGTTCTGTCATTGAATTTCTAAGTGCAGCACACACTGTGGGTGCTTTCTAGGTTGTATAATAAATAACTTTGTTAAAAGCAAGAAGTGATTAGCTCTTAGTTTCTGCTGTTATCTTCCCCTTTTCTTTACAATAATATTTTTAAACAGAAAGATAAATGGTATAGTACAAGTAGTTGCATGGAGGTTCATTTTACTTTATTTTGTCAGATGTTCTGGTCGCTAAAGAAGGTATAAGAATGCTCTTGCCTTCAATCTGACAGCAGGTCATGGCGCTTGCCCTCACATAGATAATTTGTAGGCAAGATTTCAACTGTGCTGTTCTTCAACTGTGTGAGAGTTGTGCTGAGTCTTAGAGCTTGATGCATAGTAACCTAATCAAGTTGATAAAAAATGCCAAGTTGAGCAAGTGATTTGTGGCCTTCTCAGCTTTGTGAGGTTCTTCTGCCATAATTGCTTTGAAAAGTACCTGATTCTGCAAATAGTTACCTGAAATTATAGACGGGACCTGCTTAATAAGCATGATTTGGGTCAGTTTATGTGCAATGACAGCAGTTACTTCCTTTGGCTTTATGCCTGTTGCACTAGAATTTACTTAACATTGCAGTCCTCTGTACTTTTTTGGCCAAACTGGTACAAAACAAGGAACCCATGAGTGTCAAGTTAAGAAAGAGTGCATGAACTTGAAAGGTGGCAGAAGTCATATCTGGAAGATCAAGATGTGTTGGAGTGCTGAGACAGAGCCACAGTAAGTGCATGATAAAACACACAGAGTGAGGCAGACTGGCATATAATACAATGTTTTTCTAATTATCTTATTTTACTATTAAGCGTTGGTCACTTTACCCACTTATGCTCCTTTTTTGTAAGTGATAGTAACTAATATTTCTAAATAGCTATTTCTGAGTGCACTTTTCTACATGGTAACAGAATAAATTCACTTTTCATGCACAGAGAGAATGAGGTGTTTGCTGTTAGCTTTGTATCTAAATTTGCTACCTTGTAGAATTTTTTTTCCAGGTGAAAGACTATATGAACGTGCGTTTTTACACTGATAGATAGTATAAAATACCAACTTCCATTTATGTTTTCATAGACCCTGCTCTGGCAGGGGGGTTGGACTAGATGATCTTTCGAGGTCCCTTCCAGCCCCTAAGATTCTATGACTTCCCTCCTAGTTTATTTCTTGGATCTAGCAGGTAGTGACTTACTTTAAAAAATTTAATACTTTGTTACATAACAAAATACATTATTACACTTTCAACAAATAAAAAATCCTGCTTACCATTGCCAAAATAATTACTTTCTTCAGTGTCTTTCAGCTTTTTTGAGAAAATTCTTTTGTTAATTTTTCTAAAAACTTGTTTTTCCAGATTATCATTAAGAATTGAACCAGGTAGCAGCTCTCCTCGACTGGTTTCCTCCAAAGAAGATCTTGCAGGTATAAGACTTCTCTTGAAAATTTGAGTAAGGAAATAATTTGAATTACAGAAGTCTTCCACTGATGTATATGGGAAAACCCATTTTATATCAGAGGGTTTTTGGAGAAATGAATAATTGTTGAAGTTACTGAATTATCTCATAAGGGCTGTCAAAAATTGATCCCTTTCCATGCATATGCCCACTGTCAAGACATTCTTGGTTTAGAACACCACTTCTCAGATGGTTGTAGAAGTTCTGATTTTTAGTTCAGATTTCTACATATCTAACTTGTACTTGTGGTAGCACCCTCCTTTGTCTTAAAAATATTTTTCAGTGAATTTTCATGAATTTTTCAGTGACCTGTGCCTGTGTGGCTGCAAAAATGCTGCTAAAGGGAATCCAGTGTACTTAACTGAAAAAACAAATTAATTCCCAGAGAAAGGCTGGTTAAGTAAGTTAACTTGAAATTTAACTTAGCAGCAAGGCAATAATTTATTATTTCACATCACTAATAAATAGAAATTTAGGGTATGTTGGTCTTGAGCAATTCTAAGCTGAAATATCCAAATATCAGGAATGAGATATTTGACCATGGAGAACCAAAAATTACACATTCAAAGATACTCAAGTCAACTCCACTTGGATCTAAATTGTAGTTTGAGATTATTTCCACTTCAACCATTGTGTGTCAGGAGTAAATCCTTTGCAGTCAGCAAGCAATCATGATAAGAGGTGATCTCAAAATAATTTGTGCAGTAGTTTAATGTTCAGTCAATAGGGTAAGGCATAGAAGTCTGAATATTGTGATTTGAAAGTAAAATAAAGGTTCTTGGCTCATAAGGGCAGTCATCAGTTCAGTTTTCATGATCACCAGAAAGTTAATGTGTTAATAATAGGAAAAAGTTGAATTCTTCCTGTGACATGCTGTCTTTTAGGTTGCTGTTTCCAATATGAGCAAAAGCTCAATATTGAGGTAATGATTCCCAAGTCAAATGGGCTTAAGTGCAGGGAATGGTGTTTTCTTTGTGTCCTAAAGTATCACTACTTGTGTTGTTGATGGAAATAGTTTTTCCTTCCCAGCATTTTGACTTTATCTTCTACCCAATTTCAGCTTGCTGTCTTTGAAATGGAGTTTAAAAGTATACTTTTGCCAGGGACATTGTGGGTTGTTTTTTTTTACCCCTTAAAGTATCTTTTTGTGTGTGAGGCTCAATAAAAACTGTTGAATCTTTTAGTACTTCTGTTTGCAAAGTACTGGAGAAAACCATGTGTCTATTTTCCACGTCAGTTGCCAACGGGTTTTCCAGTAAATTTGAACAGGAGGCAGACATCTGATTAAAGTTAATATCTCACAAGAAGCTATGCTTAGTATATTAGTGGCTAAGATGGTCTCATTTAATTGCCAAACACATATATAATTGTGAATGGTGCTTTCACAGGAAGATTTCATGCCTTCCCCAATGCTGCAGAGATTGTCTCTTGCAAGTAGCTTTTAAAAAGGAGCTTTTAAACAGTTTAATTGTATGCTTTCAGGAACTGTGTGGTTCACACAACTTCCTTGGCAGCAGCTGAAGTCTGTTCATTTTGCCTTGCTATGGTTTGAGAGAGGACATAGCTGGAGAGCTGATAGTATGTGAACTGTTCACAGTTTCCAGTTGAATAAGCAGTTAGACATCTGTGTTCCCGCAGTCCTGGCTGTGAGGTGCCCAGCATTTATGGTACAGCTAGTAGACAGATTGTTTTGGGAGGTATAACTCAATGCCTTTTCCCAGAACAAAAGAAAAGATGTAATGTATAGTAAATAAGTTAGCTTTTTAAGCAACTGAAGTTCCTTAGCATTTCCACACCAAGTGTAGCTCAGTGTAGAAAACTTTATGCATGTTCTTTATTGTCTTAATGTTATTTTGGTAAATTCAGGGCACAGTGCTAATGCGAATATAGAAAATGTTTACTTCTTCTCTGTCATATGCTTTATTTTTCCTGTCTTGGAAAGCAATATAAATAGATAAAATAATTACCATATCCAGAAAATTATATCTAACACTATATGAGTCAAAGAATAGTCTGCATGTGATTTTTAATGAACCCCTTCATTGAAGTTAGCATTTAGAAGGCCTTTTTAGCCACAGCCAGGGCTCAGCTGTGGGCAGCCCGTATTTTGGCATTTTCATTATGCAGTAGTCAGGGATGGAGCCTCACCCCCTCTTTTTTTCCTTTTTTCCCCCTAGTAGATTTTGGCATAATTCTTGATAGGAGAATAAGTGGATCAGAGGTTTTGTGTTACCTCCCTACCAGGAATCTGAAGTAATTATTCTGAAATGGATGCATTCTGCTTTTTGTTCTTGGGATAAAATTCAGCCCATTGTGCTGAGTCCATTCAACTTTTAGAGTTGCTAAAGAAGTTTTATTTTCATTCATTAGAATCTAATTGCTTATTTTAATTAATTAGAATATGCTTGCCAGTATGTTACTTAATTAGAATCAGTAGATTTATCAGACGTTATATATGTGATAGGTAGGAGTTAAAAATGTAGAAAGCGTAGAAACAGAAGGGAGAAAGACTGGGATGTTCGCACAATTATAAGCCTCTGGAAGTAGGTCTACTACACTAGTGACATCTGTACAGCAGTCCCAGCATTTTAGAATGAAAAAACCCACACCATCATTTTCCATGTAAACACTGAGCTGACATTTAGTTTTGCCATTTGTTTTACTGGTTGCTCTGGCAACTAATAAATAGTTCATGCTAAGTGCTTTAGCAGCCAATCATTCTGTGGAAATAAGGATTGTCTAATCCTCCTGCAAGTGCTTGGTTATTGCCTCATGTGCATAGTGTCAGCTTCTCTTACACTATACTTAAGGTAGAAAAGGAAGAACTAATTTTTCTTCACAAAAGTTTACAAACATGTAGATAACTTTGCTCTTTAGTTTAAAACTTACACTCATTTCCAGTCTCTTCCTTTGTGATACATTCTCCACAAAGTTTTACAACTCCTCTTTGATGGAAAAAAAAAAAAAAGAAAAAAAAGAAAAAAAAAAAAGAAAATTGGAAGATTAAAAATATGAAGTCTGGAATATGACAGTGAGTTAATGCTTTTCTGGTATTTCTGGAATTACAAATTCTTCATGGCCAAAGTAGACAGACTAATATTCTGTATCAGTTATTGTCCTTAGAGTAAAAAAAAAAAAAAATGCACCTTAGAGTAAGATTTCCAGATTACTTTTTATAAATGTTTCTGTACCTTTTGCTGTTATGTAGAGTGGAGGTGGAGATGAGAGTAGGATTCTAATTACAGCAGCAGGGATCATGTGGCAGAACTACAGAATCCTATTTATATTCCCTTTACTCGCAAGGCATGATATTAGAAATAGCTCATAGTCCTTCTGAAAAAAAGAGTACTTCCATGCAATAACCAAAATAATCTCCTGACCTCTGTAGCAAAAGGCCTTTGCATTCTGTTCCAAAGAGAGTGGCTTCTGTCTGACCAAAACATCCATGGCTGGGGCAGTTGGGCTTTTGGGGGGTTGAGAAAGCACAGAGGGTTCTCAGTTTGCTCTTGTCTGAGAAGCAGCCAGAACATACATGGGTATTGCATGCTGTATGCATTAATAGCCTTTAGTTGAGTTGTAAAGCAGTACTCTGAAAATTAAAACTATGTTTTTACAATAGCCACCATTCTAGATTTCATTTTTTCACCTCATTCTTCTGTGCACGGGATTTTTCTTAAGTTCTTTATTGTGTGTTTTGTAAGTAGGTCTTTCAGTTTGAAAGTTTTAATTATCACCCACTGACTTTGGTTACAATGGCAACAGAACAGTAAAAATTTATAGCAAAAATTTAACTAGAGACTTCATGGCTTGGAATGTCTTTATTAAGTTTTAGAAACAGAGCTGGTAAGTATCAGTTTTACTTCTTAGCTGCTTACAAAAAATAGTACATAATTGAGACTATTTTACCTTCCTGAAAAATAACTATTTTTCATCATATAATATGCAACTTCTTTTCAGTTTTCTATTTGGATGCCTAGTATTGCTTTATTGATAGGTTTTTAGTGGAGAAAAATTGCAAACTGTAACTCCTTCACCCCGTTACTTTTTTTAAAAGCTCTGGAGACTGTAAATGTTCACATGTTCTACTGAAGGATTGCAAAAGTCACATTCATTTATAACATTTGAAGGATTATTCATGGAAAAATTATGCAAAGGAAAAAACAGTGAGATCCTTTGGGATATGTGTAAACTTTTCCAAATGTTCTTGCCACAGATCTCTGAACAGCACTTAGCTCACTCTGATGAAGTTGTCTCACATTCCCTAACACAAACATTTTTTATAATGTTTTAATATTTTTTATACATTATTTTTGTGCATGTCAGCATAGTCTTCAAAATGATGCTGAGAAATAATGAAAACCAAACTTACCCTTGTTCATGCCAGCTGACTGGAAAATCCTACTAAGAGTGCTTTGTCTCCATGAAAGGCAAAACAACAGAATAGCAATCATGGTAACAGTATGCACTAGGAGTGGAGCCAGGAGAGTGAAGAGGAGAGTTAGCAGTAGCAGATGACTTCATTTATTGGAAAAAAAAAGGGGCAAAATAACTCAATCTCAATTGAATTTAAATATTGGAACTTTGTTATCAGCAGTATCAGGCATAGCTTCCCCAGCTAAGTGCTCAGAAGTCTGGTATGTCCATAAACATCCCTTGGTCTGTGCAGTGTTCATCAGTATCTCCCCACTTACCCTCTTTGGCATGCTCCTTGGCACAGGCTCTTGTCTCTTACCCTGTGCAGAAATGAGGTCAGCTCCACTGCCCATGGCTCAGGCTGACTCTGCACTCAGGCTTGTGCTGAGCTGTATACCTGCAGCAGAACTCCTGATGGGCAGAGCTCTCAGCTTCACCCTGGCTTCATAGGCAATTGACAGCAGAACAGATGCAAAGACTCAGTAGAAGTTTTAAAGCTCAGATTCTTTTTATCTTAGCACAGGGGTAACAGAGCCAAACTGTATCTATTTCCTTTCTTGCCTTGGAGATGAGAAGGATGCAGAACTGCATAGAAAATGGTCACTCTGAAGAGAGTAATAACATCTTATCCCTCAAAGCATTCTGTTTTCTGTCATCCGGATTTTCACTGCAGACACCTAACTGGGAATTAGAATAAATCCATTACCTACCTTCACAGGACTGATGAAAACAATTGTGTTTGCCACATGGAATAGTAAGCCAGGCTGAACTTTTGGCTTACATTGTATGGCTCATCAACCTATCTCCACAAATTCTGTCACCCTTGACACATCTCAGCTGAGCCAGGCAGTATTTTAACCTGAGCTGAAGTCTGAGATATGCAGTCCTTTTAGACACACTACATCATTTGTTTTGAGGTTTATTTAAACAAACTGTCTGTTCTGAAGCTGTCCAGGTAGTAAAAAGCTTTTCCTAAAATCAAGTTTAAATGGTCAGTCTTTTAAGTGTTTTTGTGTTGTATTCATTTTAGTGCAAATTTAACTCGATGCTTCCTAACAATGGGGGTCTAATTTCCCAAAAAAAGGGAGTGTAGAGTGAAAACTTCCAAATAACTATTTTTGTTGGCAGTCAACTATCTCTTTATTTTTTGTAAGTTTTGGTAGGGATAACATTTGAACCTGTAAGTACTTTAAAATACCTGAAGTAGAATCCAGCTGACTTTGATTTTGTAATGGCTTGATTGTGTCATCAAAAGACTTGCTATTTTGCTGTACTTTCTCTAGATAGCAGTTTTTGTGTAATGCAATGAACATTGTGTTGGAATCAAATTAATTGAACACTGTTACTGCTTTCAGCTCCATGACTCTCCACAGTGAGAAACCTAAACCTTTAAACTCTTACATATTAAAAAAAATTAACAGTTATTTTGACATATGGTATAGTGTCTGTGAAGAAGATATGTGCGTGTGTCTGCATCGTACTGGTACTCATTTAGGGCTGTGCCTTGAGATTACTACTCTTTTACAGGCTGCATTTTCAACAGTTTGTTAAATGTAATGCTTCAGTAGTTCTCAGTGAACTATAATGTCATCCACTTAATGTGAATCAGGATTTAGAACAGGCACCAGAGAGAAAGAGCTGAATGATACAACAGGAAGCAAGAGAAAACTGAACCAATCCTGCAGCCAAATTAAGGGATAAGTAGTGACTTAAAGCACTGCAAGATGTGATGGAGAAGAAACAGAAGTTTATGCAGACTTTCAGGCTAAACTTGCTGATACATGAGAATTTTCAGGAAAATTCTCTTTCAGCTGCCACAGTCTTCGTACTGGGTCTCAGTTCCAGTATATCTTAAGCTTCTTAGCAGGTAGTAAACACATAAGTAATCTTAAGTATCTTACTGTTCACAAGTTGAAAAATGGAAAGGTACTACAAACAAGGTGTGTAGAGAGAACTCATTTTGTGAACCTAGTTCATCAGAAGGGCTGGAGGTTTTAAAATAAAAGAACTGTAATAATTTCTGAAACTTCTGAATGTATTTGGTTTGTCTCTGTGTAACTGTTAAGAATTTGTAATGAAAACTCATGGTAAAAGACTTTAGTGAAACACCTGTTCTTACTAGTAATGCTATAGGCAAGATGTTCAGACCTAATGATGAAATACTAATACTATCCAAAGCTAAATCACATAACTAAGAGCATTGTCCAGATGCTCCTTGGCATTCTGACACACTGGTGCCATGACCACTTCTCTGGAGAGCCTGTTCCAGTGACCAACCATCCTCTCAGAACTGTTTGTGTGACAACAGCATGTGAAGGTGTACTTGTAAAACTGTCCTTGGAATGTTGGAGTATCAGGGGTTTGTGTTTGGTTGTGTTTTTTTTTCCTTTTTATCACTAATTTGAGGTCAGACACTTTTGTTAGGATTCTGATGGTAGTTGTATGAGGCTTTTCATATAACAAAGGTTCTGTCTCTGTTGACCTCATAACAGGTGGTTTTAGGTTAGAGGCCATAAGCTGACTAAGCTAGGGTTGCTGGAGCCTCCAAGAAGTTGTTTGAGTAATGTAGGGGGAAGTTTGTTTCACAGATACCTGAGCTGTACCAAGTCTGGAGATAGATATGGGGCAGATGGCCACTTTCATGACCGCTGTTCCCAGTTCTGTCACAGGCACCAATGTCACAACTAAATGTTTAATAGTGAAATCTCAACTGTTTATTGTGAAGCCAAGAGTAGCCTTGCATTCACTGAGGATGATGATAGACCATGATGTTCTCCACTGTATTGCAGAGTTCACTGCCAGCCTTTTGCAAACAGGATCAAGGAACTGAAACAAGAACAGCTTGTCCATGTTTTCCATGCGACCTTATAAAATCTCTAAGAGGAAGAACAATTGCAGTGAGACATCTCTAGAGCTCATAGATGATTAAGAAGTAGAGTATCTGTCTGGCCATTAGATACATTAAAAGCCCCTGCTTTCTCTTACATGTTCAAGCTATGAGTCAGTATGAGCAGATTGTTTACAGTTTATTCA